AGGGTAGATCAATGCGCATTGAACGGTTGTAACCGCAAAACAATCCGATCACTAGTTAAGTAGTAAATAAACTTTAAAAAAGTGTCAAAAATGTGAACTTTGAACGCAATTTGTTCAAAAACGGCTCCGTCAAAAATTCTAAATTTTGGATATGTTGTTCTACTTGACGAGCTCTACAAAAATAGCTTGGTCGCTTTTAGTCGGCAATTTTTTCCTACCTTCTTATGGGAGTTGTCGTATATGCACTGTACTATAAGCATACAGAGTTGTACTTTTTTCGCTTATTTTCGTCAAAACTACCATCTAGCGCCTCAACGGTTAGAGCAAGAGCAAAACGGACAAAATTTTCGCCTAAAGGCCTCTACTTTGATGAGTTTACCCTTAGAAAACCATATTTTTAAAAAACGTCATTTTTGGGACCTGTTGTTTTTGATTTTTTAAAAATCCAATTTTTGAGCTAGAATGCTCATCTTTGAACTCGATCTGTCTTTTTATGATACAAAACGACCCTGAAAATCCCAGGTCGCTCGCTCACTTCGTTTTCGAGTTTTCGTGCGGACAGATACACAGATACACAGACACACAGACAGACAGACAAAGTTTTTTCCGACCAGACGGAGTATTAGGCCTCGCTAATCGCTCAGCCAACTAGTAATCGTGGAGCAGAAAACTTCATGCATGATGAATTTGATAGCGACTCAGATCGTTTCTTTGTATAGTACCCTTATGTGCGTAATTTGCCACATTTTTATAGTTATGTAACTAGAATTCGGGAGGCAAAAGAGCTAATGGCAGAGGGTTTAATTAAAAACGACCCTACAATGGTGAACCAAGCATGGGAGATATGGATGTCTTATATGGCTGAAGTACATGTAAACTGGGAAAAAGAAGTAGCGTGTTGTATAAAGAGCAAACTTTCATATTGCATTGTATATATTGTAAATATTAGTTTGTCATACTGATAGTCCCACACCACCTGTACTTGTGAATGTGAATATGTAATGTGAATATGTATGCGACTGGAACTCCAGCTGTAACATCCCGTAACTCGGTCACTTCCGTCTGACCCAGCTGAGCGAGCAGGTTGTACTGTACAGAGCGTTGTTTTGGAAGATAATATATCCGCAATCATCCTACTGATATCTTGAGTGATCATTTCTCAGTCAACCCAAATACCTATCAAGATACAAATCCTAACAGGTTATGGGCGCCAGGCTATTCTGCTTGACTGTATTGTTGTAAATATTTACTTGAGAAAGTTCGTGTAGGCGAGTGCCGGTACAGACCACGAGTTGTGGAAGAGTCTGAAGTTCTTTTATCTTCGAATAAAAGGTATGTACAGTGTTTTCCGGTGCGTCCGGATAAAAGTAAACGACGGAAGTTAAAATATCTGGAGGTTCCAGTTAAAATAGTCACGAACTTAAGTTGAGTAAGTGAGTCTAACCTCACTTTGTTGGTAATGGCGAGAGTTCTCGCATGTGTTTGTTTGCCACTATATAAGAAAGGGCAAGCTCGCGACGGCCTCTTGCAGGTGCATGAGCTTGATCTCATGACCCACTAAGGGCAAGCTGGCGACGGCCTCTTGCAGGTGCATGAGCTTGATCTCATGACCCACTAAGGGCAAGCTGGCGACGGCCTCTTGCAGGTGCATGGGCTTGATCCCATGACCCAACTCAGGGCAAGTTTGCTACGAGCACTTGCAGGTGATGGGCTTAGCTCCCATGACCCAACAGAGGGCAAGCTGGTTAACGAACCACTTGCAGGCTTCGGCCTATGTCCCTTGTCCACTGAGCTGAGGGTCAGAGAAATCTGGCAGGCTTGGGCTTGTGTCCCTTGTCATGGAGAGGTTGGATTTTCAAATCCTCCTCGTCCCTACATGGAATGTACATTAAATACTTTGTGGTATTTTCAGGCTACTGATCAGTATGGAAGGATCAACATCCTCCAAATTTCCCGCCTTCAATGGCAAGAACTACGCCCAGTGGTCGTTCAGGATGACGCTGCTTCTGTAGGTCCACAAACTACTGGAGTTTGTGAAGCAAGGAGTGGTCGTCCTCTCCCGTGTGTTCCTGGAGGGACCAGCCAGGGAGACTGCTGACGCCAGGACCAGGAGAGAGGAGCAGCTGGCTACGCTAAAGGATAAGGATGCTGAGTGTCGAATGTTAATTGCTGAAAGGGCAGATGACTCCCAGCTAGAGTTAATAAGGTTGCATCCCACTGCTTATGGGATGTGGCGAGCCCTTGAGGAGAGGTTTGCCCGCAGGGATCCTGTTGCTCGGATGAATCTTTCTACACAGTTTCACCACTTGAAATACAAGCCTCAGAACGAATCGTTCAGTAGCTTCTGTTTGAAGTTTGATACACTGTTGAGGGAAGTTCGGGAAGCTGGAGAACAGGTTGACGAGGTGGGGTCAGTCGTGAAATTTGGCATAGCCATGCCAGCAGAGTACGACACATTGGTTAGCTCTCTGCAGACTGCCGCTGGCTCTAACCTCACCTTGCTATCTCTTCAGAGAAGCATTGAGGAGTATGAGAAGAGGAAGAAGCCACGGGCTGCCTCAACCTCTAGCACCTCAGCATTTAGCAGTTACTCTCCAAGGCGCGGCAGGGGTGCAGCTAGCGGCCCAGACCGTTACTGCAACAACTGCAGGCGCACTGGACATGTTAAGTCAGAATGTTATCTTCCAGGAGGAGGCGCGTTCCGTGGACACCGAGGTGACCGAGGGCGCGGCGGACGCGGCGGACGAGGTGGTCCTGAGTTGTATGGGCTGCACTTTGTCGCAAATTTTTGTCGCAAGGGGTGGGGGGCCCAGAAAACGAATCCGTTGCATGGAGAGGGGGGCCGCGACTTTTTTGTAGCATGTGACGACGGTGGAGGGGGAAAACATTTTTTCTGCCTTGGTCGGGTTTCGATCTTGGAACTTTGGTTTCGTGGTTGGGGGGCGCTAACCCCTAGACCACTGGACCGCTGAGGGTCCTCGGGGTCTGATTGACATGTGTAGCGGAGAGCGGGCGCTGGCGCGCCTGGCCCGGCCCTTTCTCGGCTTAGCTCGGGAGACGCTCGGCTCGGCTCGGCTTGGCCTACAAGGGGTATCGGCAGCAAGTGGTGTTTACACGTTTCGCCGCAAGAGGCGCTCGGCTCGGCCCGGCTGAGCTCACACCACGCCGGCACCACTCAGTAGTTGGCGCGACGATACGTCAAGAGCGGGTGTTCATCTTTACGTCAGCGGTCGGAGGAGTAAGGTACTTGTAACTTTGTTCGTGTCTCTTGTCTTTGAGGAGTTCGTCATGTTTGTTAAGTGGTATTTTAATATTGATGTTGACGCGCGCCAGCGCTTGGAGTTGGCGTTGCATAAGGACGGTTGGTCGTGCATTCGTTTCGTGGAGAGAGGCGAATGTATCGACATTTTAAAATTTGATTGCATCTCTCAAATGTTGCGAGAGAAAGTTCACGTGTTTAGGCGTATTACACGTCATTTGACGAAACGTCCTTATCCTGCGGGTACCCCCCCTGATTATTTGGGTTCATTTGAGGTTTCCTACAAAATGTTAAATGGTCAGGCTGCAGTGCTTTTTGAGCGGGAGTGTGACTTTCCCGATAAAAACAAGGACGAGGTGCTCTCTCGTTTTACTTTAAGATCGAATGCTTGGGATTCGATTTTAAGAAACCAATCTTTTTTATTTTCTACTTTGTTATCATTAGAGCAGCCGGGGGTACCCAAAGAGTATATTAAAGAAACTGTTAAACGCATGTGCTTCACATATGTACCTGAACACTTGGACGAGAGGGGTAGACGGGCTTACATGCGAAAATATAAATTGTAGAATGTGTGTGTATGTGTGTGTGTGTGTGTTGGTGTAAAAATTGTATATAAATAGGGGTATGCTTGCTTTTAAAGTTCATTCTTGTAGTTGAGTTTTGAGCGTAAAGATGTCGAGGGTTTTCTTTCTTATGTTATGTGTTAGTTTTAAATTTGTCTTTGCTGAGGTGAACGATATTGTGAAGAATGTGACTTCTTATTGTTTTGATCAACGGATAGCTGGGGATATAATAGTATTAAGTTGTTTTGTTTTCTTTGCTCCATGTTGCTTAATTATTTCTCAGTGTGTGTTAGATAATTTTGAGGAGGAAGAGCAGGAGGTAACGGAGCTAAGGAGGGCAAGTGTGTGATTTGACAAAGCTTCGCAGAGCAAAGCTCTCTTTGTTTTTGTTGTATCTCGCAATGGTGCGTCAGTGCGTGCAAGATGTAAGTTTATTTTTGTAAACAACGTTGAAATCGTTTTCTTGTTTCTCGTCGTATAGTCGAGCCAGCCAAAGGTCCCGATTCTTGTGGCGGTTGGAGAGCTGCCCCCTCTCCTCCGGCTGTACCCCCTCCACAGGCCAGCGGGGGAGCGGGACGGGTGGTGGGGGCTGGTGCGGGCGTTCTCCAACCGCCACTAGAATCGGGACCTTTGGCTGGCTCGACTATAACATGTTTCATGAAATTGTGCGTGTTTCTAATCGTAGTGTACTTTTTTACTTTTTCAGCTTCGCGCGACAGTGATTGAGTCATCGTCAGGGCTACCCACCAGGACGTTTTGGTCAGAGGCACGTGGGCAAGGGGTATGTATTTTTGCTTCTTCAAACATGTGAAAATGTATTGTGTAATACGTTTATTGTGTGTATGAAATATGGATCCATATACTAATATGTAACGTTTGTTTTTTCATTCCAGGTTGCTAAAAAGCAGTTGGGCGACTTGTTAGATGGGGAGAATGTACAGAAATTTGGAACGTTGATTGAGAATATCGAGTGGCTTTTCCACTTTGCCCAAATCTGCGGCGTGGAGAGAAGGAAATATGAGAAGATAGCGAGGAGGTTGGTCACCTGAAAAGCCAAGTTGGAGCGGTTAAGCCTTAAGGTAAGCATCATTTTTTCCTTTCTCGAGTACACAAAACGAGTAT